GCAGTGTGGACCACAGAGGAGATTGCATCCTCTGTTGATCGGTTCTCACGGTATGCATACTGATGAGGGTCCTCGTTGATGTTGTTGATTGTTTTGATGCGAGTCATGACCAGTTTTTCAAAGCATTTAGCGACTATCAGGGTGAGGGCCACTGGCCTATAGTCATTCAGACCAGTCACTGTAGAGCTTTTTGGGACTGGGATGATGGTGGCAGTCTTCAGGCAGGTGGGAACTGTCTCCAGGGTAAGTGAGGTGTTAAAGATGTCTGTCAGCACCTCACAGAGCTGATCAGCACATTCCTTCAACACTTTTCCGGGGATGTTGTCTGGGCCAGTTGCTTTGTGCGGATTAATCCTCCTGAAGGTACTCCTTACATCTGCTGAGGTCACACTGAGATGCTCTTCATCCGGTGGTGAGGTGAGTCTGGTGCTGGGTGGTCTGTTCGGGTCTTCAAAGCGTGCATAGAACTTGTTGAGGGCATCAGGCAGAGATGGGTCTTTGGGACATTGTTCACTCCTTCCTTTATAATCTGTTATGCACTTAATGCCCCTCCACATGCTCCGAGGGTCTTGTGAGATGAATTGACCCTCGATCCTCTTTGCATACGTGCCCTTGGCCCTCTTAATACCAGCAACCAGCTCTTTTCTTGTCCTACTCAGCTCCTCTGAGCTTCCAGACCTGAAGGCAGTGTTCCTGGCTTCCAGCAGGGTACGCACCTCTGCATTCAGCCAAGGTTTTCTGTTTGGGTAACTTTTAACATTTCTGATAGTGGAGACGGTGTCAATACATGTACTAATGTAACCCAGAACTGAGGATGTGTATTGGTCAAGATCAAGCGAACCTCCATTTTCAGCAGCTTCTCTGAAAACCTGCCAGTCTGTTCGATCAAAACAATCTCTCAGTATGGGTCCACTGTCCTGGAGATAAAAGATGATTTACATAAACAAAGCTGGAAAGACGTGTATGTTGATGATGTGAACAGATCATATGATGAGTTTATGAATATTTTAGGAGCTCTGCATGAAAAGAATTGTGTGCAAAATAATTTTACAAAGAGAAATGTTGTTGACCAACCATGGATGATGAAAGGGTTGAGAAATGCTTGTAAAAAAAAGAATTATTTGTATACATGTTTCTTGAAATTGAGAACACAAGAGGCTGAAGAGAAATATAAGAAGTATAAAATAAATTAGTAGGGATTATAAGGAAACACAAGAAGGAATATTATAGTGATTTATTAAATAAAAGTAATGGTGATATGAAAGCTACATGGTGAGTAATAAATAGTGTTCTGAAAAGTCATAAAGCAAAAACAGGTATTTCACAATATTTTTTGAAGGATGACGATGAAATCCATGATGAAAATGAAATTGTAAATGGATTTAATCATCACTTTGTGAACGTTGGATCAAGCCTTGCAGCTAAAATACCAAAAGTAGACAATAATGTGAACCATTCAGTTATAGGTTGTGACAACAGTATTTTTCTTAATGGAACTGACAAAGAAGAAATAATGAATGTTGTAAAAAATCTTACAGATAAGAGATCAAAAGACTGGGTGGACATGGATATGATGTTTGTAAAGGACATAATGAGTTATGTTATCGAGCCGTTTACATATATTTGTAATTGATCATTTTCAAAAGGAATATTTCCAGACAATATGAAAGTAGCTAAGGTAGTTCCTCTCTTTAAAAATAGTGATAAATGTGTGTTCAATAATTATAGACAATATCCTTATTACCACAGTTCTCAAAAATTCTAGAAAAACTATTTGTGACCAGATTAGATAAATTTATTACTAAACAAAACTTTCTAAGTAGCAGTCAGTATGGGTTTAGAGCAAAAAACTCTACATCAATGGCTCTCATGGAAATAATAGAACAAATAACTACTGCTGTCGATCAAAAACAGTATTGTGTTAGTATTTTTGTTGATTTAAAAAAAGCATTCGATACTATTGACCACACTATTCTCCTTGAAAAATTAAATAAATATGGTCACGGGGGTCGCTGGTGCTCATGTCCAGCAATCACTGTGTGAGGGGCGGGGTACACCCTGGACGGGTCTCCAGTCCATCACAGGGACACATAGAGACAAACAAGACAAACAACCATTCACTCTCTCACTCACACCTAGGGACAATTTAGAGTTACCAATCAGCCTAACATGCATGTTTTTGGTCTGTGGGAGGAAACCGGAGTACCCGGAGAAAACCCACGCATGCACGGAGAGAACATGCAAACTCCACCCAGAAAGACCCCTGGACCGGGGTTTGAACCAGGGACCTGCTCGCTGAGAGGCAGCAGCTCTACCAGTTGCGCCACCATGCTGCCCTGTATTGTATTGTATTGTATTGGTGTATATACGTTTTCTTTTATCATTTATTCACACCTTTATGCCGAAGCAAGGTCATAGTCTGTGAATCCTGTTCATTGACAATGGCAATAATAAACTGAATCTGAAACTGAATCTTAAAGGAACCCCTGAAGAGGCTATGGTTGTGGTCATTCGAGATATTGAGGAACTGGAAAAATACTGAAGTAAACTGAACATAATAAGGAAATGATCAAACTTGTACTGACTGGAACTGAGTGTAATTAGGACAAAACAACAAAAGAATAACTGGACACCTTCATTTACATTGGACATAAAGCAATGGATATAGAAAACAATACTGATCTATGGTGGAAATGTATTTTTAAAATATGGATACTTACAAAGACTTGTCGAGTTAAAAATATACATTGTGAATAGTATGGTTGATACAAATCTTTTTCTAGAAATCAAAGATTGTGAATTTACAATGAGGAGAAATTTAATGACATTAATAAAGCAAGCGGAGGTTTCTCTATCATTCATTTTAATAGTAGAAGTACAAATGCAAGTTTATCTAAAATAACAGACTATTTAAAACAGTAATTCAGGGAACAGGATTGTGGATTTGTCTTGATATCACCATAAAAATTTCAAAAACAATTTATATGTTTAAAAAGATGATTAAGTTAAAATTGTTAGGAAAGTATAGTGCCAAGTGAAGGATGCCTGATGTTTTTTGTTTTCACTTTGTTCAAGCCTAAGTTGTTATTTGTTTAAAGTTATTTTATGTTTTTATTTTTTTAAATAAGGGGCAAAAATTATATTTTTCTTCTTTCTGCACCGTTTTTTTTCTTTTGATGAATTTTTTTTTTTTTTTTTTTTAAATGAATGAATAAATGAATTAAATAAATAAATAAAATTACATCATAGTTAATGTTCTGTAAGACAAACCTGATTAAAAGTTACTTTTTGCTGAGTTTTATGTTACTTACCATTGAAAGACAGGTTAATGGCCTCCAGGTAGTTTCCTTGGACAGCAGTGGAGTTAAACCCCATAGGAAAACCATCTGGGACCAAATCAAATGAACACAAGCTTTTGGTTACAGAAGAGAGCTGACTGAAAAGGCCCTTGTTCAGAAACCATTTGGACTATTTTCATACCCGCTTCTTTCAGCCGCACCAGGACAGGGTACTGGATGAAGAGCTTCTTAATGGTGACTAGTAATGGAGTCCACTCATCCCGTCTCTCATTCTGAGCCACAACTCTAATCAGGAAAGAGACAGAAACTGTTTTCTGAGGACACCACCATCTAGCTGTTCATTTAGCTGGAATATTTACCTGTAGAAGTCTTCGTAAAAACGACCCTCATGATTCTGTCTGATGGAGCCTCTTAGTATCTCTGGAAACTCCTCTAAAGGAACAGTCATAACAGATAAAGTATTTTGTTTCTGGACATGTCATAACATCCTGTTGAAATAAATAAAACTCACCTAAGGTTTTAGCGTTGTAGAATGTGCGTGAAAAGAGCACAACTGTCACCTCATGACTGCAGTTCTTCTCCTGTTTAACAAAAAAAATACGTTTAGGTTTTGAAACAGGTGATGAGCGTATTTTCAATTAAATTTAGCTACACCCTGCTAAAGATATTTTACAAGCAGTATGCCGATGTCTCCTGTAGCTGAGGGGTTTGAGTAGTGAATGTTTGTATTTTTCAAATTGAGTGTTTTTCTGGACGGGAATTGAACAGAGAATCCAAGTAAACCTTGATGTTTTTGGAGCAAAATATTCAAGTGGGTAGGAGTTACACTGTGGAGAAGAACACAGGGACTTCTTCTTTTATTTGTATTTTGCTTAGCTGAGTCACAGAGTGACAAATCCTGGCGATTTTGCGATTTTATCTAGTACCAGGTGTAATGTCGGTGCTACGGGGTGGCCAATGGTGGTTTTGCCCATCACAGAATAATCTTCAGCCACCCCAATCATTTGAAGAAACTATCATTTTAAGCAGTATAAAAACTAGAAAGCATAGTTTCCTCAAATGATTTGGAGTCTGGCAGCACGGTGGCGCAACTGGTAGAGCTGCTGCCTCTCAGCGAGCAGGTCCCCAGTTCAAATCCCAGTCCGGGGGCCTTTCTGGGTGGAGTTTGCATGTTCTCTCCGTGCATGCGTGGGTTTTCTCCGGGTGCTCCTGTTTCCTCCCACAGACCAAAAACATGCATGTTAGTCTGATTGGTAACTCTAAATTGTCCCTAGGTGTGAGTGAGAGAGTGAATGGTTGTTTGTCTCGTTTGTCTCTATGTGTCCCAGTGATGGACTGGAGACCTGTCCAGGGTGTACCCCGCCCCTCGCACAGTGATTGCTGGACATGGGCACTGGCGACCCCCGTGACCCAAAATGGAAGAAGCGGGTAAAGATAATGGATGGATGGATTTGGGTGGCCGGTTTACATATAGTGAAAGCCATCTTGGACTTTGACTTAACACATTCTTCTAGTGGTGTAACGATACATGTGGGTGTATTGAACTAGGGATGCACGATATTGGATTTTAGGCAGATATCCGATATGCCGATATGTTAAAACTTATTTGGCCGATAACCAATGCCGATACCAATATTTTATATATGTTCGTTTATCAGAACATAGCCCTCTTATTTAGGCTCATTTTTGTTACAAAAATTGTGCAACAGCTGTAAGAGCTGGTCACATATATTCAGTAACAGCCATATGATCTGCATAGTACTTTGACTTATATTAAATGAAGTGTTAAATGTTATTTATTAACATTAGTCACCCGCGATGCTGTCTCACTTGTGGAGGCTTGTTCTGGGTTCCTATAGCTGCAGTGTGGGATCCTCTGCACTCCTGTGCATGAAGGACAGCCTTTGTAAGTTCAAAGTTTTTGTCTATCCATTGTGCCGTAACAATAATCATGCTAACGGGGCTAACACTTGATATCTGTAGTAAAACTCACCCAAGTGATATCGGCTATTAGCTTCTCAACGACATCGAAAATGACGGCTTGTAACTCTGGTAACGTTACGTCAGAAAATATCTCCGACTGAGGACGATGTAGCGAGGCTCAACGTAGTCCATAAATCTTCAGAATCAGACATCCTCACCAACGAAAAATGAAACTTCCTTTTTTTTTTTAATGAAACTTTCACAACGCCAACATTTTGAAATTTCCTCTCCGCTGTGAGATTGGGTAGACGCACGTGACGTGATCACGTTGTGCTGCCGCTGCAACGTGATCATGTTCTGCTGCCGCTGCAGGCAAAAACAGCGCCTTTTATATCGGCGAGTTAATGGAATGGCCAATGTCCAATGTTGAATTTTAATGCTAATATTGGCTGATACCAATACCATACCGATAATATTGTGCATCCCTATAATGAACCGTTTTGGTACGTCATGTTCGGTTCGGTCCACCTGCATACCGTTTTGGTAATTTTTTTACTCATTAAATTTTATTAACAAGAGATTATGTGCTGCAGAATTAAAGTTCCTAAGCGTGTTTCAGCATGGTGCTATTAATTATTGCATAGTATTGCAGCATGTGTAGCATTCGCAGCCTAGCAGGAGACCCTTTCATCTCGTTGCGGTCTCTTGTTTGGGAACATTAAGGCTTTCTTGTTAAAACTCAACAATGGGAAAAGACAAGTGAACAAATCCAAAGCTGTGTGTCGATGTTGTTTCAAGGAGATTGGATCTCTAGCAGCAACACGTCTAACTTGTTAACGCACTTGAAACAACATCATCCAAATGTGAACGTCTCTTCTAGCAGCTTGGTGCAAAGACCGATAACGGCAGCATTTAAACAACCTGTATCAGGTCATTCAGATTGGTCCAGAGCAACAACACAAGCTGTAGGAGTTTTTAAGCTCTGGACCTACGTCCGTATTCTGTTGTTGATGCGCCAACTTTAACCATATGATTAAAGTTCTTGAGCCCCACTGCCTAAGACATCTCATCACGTCAATACTTCAGCCAAAAAGTTGTAGCAGCACTTTGTGAAAAAGCTTAAACTGATTGTCAACAAGCCCTGGAGCCCAGATTTCAAGCCCTGCCCTGATGAAGATGAGCGAGAGATTCAACCACCTCATAACAGAAATGATGACCGTGCAAGAAGAGGTATTGTTATTGTATTATTGTGATCTAATTAACATTTTTTATTTAAAATTATAATCTCATTAACTCAATTTTTTTTTTTTACCTCTTTGTGTTTGCAGTCTGAGGATGGCACTGAGAGTTGAGTAGCTGAGACTTCCTCTTCAGGGAATTTTTTTATTTATTTTTATACAACATATTTTTTTACTTGGCATATTTTCAAAATAAACGTTTTGTAAGTCTTCTTCTTGGCCTTTTTTGCACCAAAAATTAACTGAACCGTGCCCTCCTTGAAACTGAACCAAACCGAAATGTGATTTTAGTGTACCATTACACCTCTATAATCTTCTATAGATGAAACTAGATGAAAATACTTCCTACACATCAACATGGAAGTTGGCACATTGTTTATTGTTCAGGGCATCCAACTCACAAGGTTTACATGTGGTGGCAGCCACGTTGGAGTTTGACATGGCAGCCCAACTTTCAGTGGTGACCTAGATGCAGCTACACATCAAAATGGAAGTCAAATAAGAAATCAAATGTTCAACAACTGATACATTTGAAAAAGCATCAAACTACAGATTAATAATCAAAAACACAACAACTCATCCACAGCATCATGGCTGGAAAAAGAAAAAGAATCAAGCTGTGCACAGACAAATGTCCAAAACCTTTAAATGAAGCAATGATGAAACTAGGATTGGGCTTAAATTCTTTAATAAGTTCAAAAACTACTGGTAAGGATTTTAAAAAGTTTAAGACAAAAACAACTTGACTTTATTTATAACAAATAAACAATAATAAACAAATAAAGTCCAGTTGTTTTGGCTTAAACCTTTTTGAATATACTATGTCATGGATGACTGAGAATCTTCACCAGCATACCGGTAATAATGTCATAGCAAAGATCATTAAATTTAAGATTTTGCTGCCGAGTTGTTCTACAAGCTGTTGAAATATTATGTAGACTTAAGGTAGTTTTTCATGTGCCGTTTCTACATCTTGACCTACTTTTTGTTTAACTAATAATAGAGTGCCATTTTATATTTAATTGTTGATCTGAGGTTGATTTTAGATCCCCCTAAGGGACCAGATAATTGTTCTAATGTCATGGAAAAAAAAAGCTGTAACAAATTCACCAAGTTAGAAGACTGAAAAGGGCTAAAAGGGAGGGACACTAACCTTCCATTTGGCAAAGAGATCAGACAGGAAACCATTTACAGCCTTCTCAAAGTAGAGATCACCTGAGATCAAACCATCAGAATTAATATGCTTACCTGTGAAGATGCAGGTTTACATCATAAGGAAAGAAATAATAACCAACCATATATATCAAAGTCCCACATTTCACAACTCATCTGGATGAAGATGTATACCATTGCAGATGTTGATCTGAACACCACCTGTGAGACAAATTTATTAGTTAAGAAAATCAATGACTTAAAACAACACAACGATGATGTGAATTAGAAAAACATAGTGGTATATTTTGCTTATTTCTACCAAATTTAAGATATGCTTTTATCTTTTCACAACAGTCAACAATGCTGGTATGACATTACATTGGGGGAGTGGTGGCGCAGAGGTTAGAGAGGTGAGCCTGTGATCCGAAGATCGCCGGTTCACGCCCCGGCCCCGACAACATCAAAATTGTGGGTGGGGTAGGTGAAACACCCACACTTGTCCCCACCCTCATTCGCCCCACTCTGGGCCCATGAGCAAGGCCCTTAACCCCACCATGTGCTCCCTAAACAGGTCTCTCTTGAAAATGAGTTCTCGCGGCTCAATGAGACTAACCTGTATAAATAAAGGCTAAATGAAAAAAAAAAATAAAATAAAATAAAATTATGAGGTTTGTTAATCACTTTGTTTCTCAATGATTTTGGAGTGGCTAGAAAATATTTAAACATCTCAAAGACTTACGTACATAAAACATTTTAATTGCAGTGTCAACTCAAGAGTCTACAGGTCCTTCTCAAAAAATTTGCATTTTGTGATAAAGGTCATTATTTTCCATAATGTAATGATAAAAATGAAACTTTCATATATTTCAGATTCATTGCACACCAACTGAAATATTTCAGGTCTTTAATTGTTTTAATACTGATGATTATGACATACAGCTCATGAAAACCCAAAATGCCTGTCCCAACAAATTAGCATATCATGAAAAGGTTCTCTAAACAAGCTATTAACCTAACCATCTGAATCAACGACGTAACTCTAAACACCTGCAAAAGATTCCTGAGGCTTTTAAAAACTCCCAGCCTTGTTCATTACTCAAAACCGCAATCATGGGTAAGACTGCCGACCTGACTGCTGTCCAGAAGGCCATCATTGACACCCTCAAGCAAGAGGGTAAGACACAGAAAGAAATTGCTGAACGAATAGGCTGTTCCCAGAGTGCTGTATCAAGACACCTCAGTGGGAAGTCTGTGGGAAGGGAAAAGTGTGGCAGAAAACACTGCACAACGAGAAGAGGTGACCGGACCCTGAGGAGGATTGTGGAGAAGGGCCGATTCCAGACCTTGGGGGA